TAAATCAAAAGTAAATAGAACCTCGAGTTAACTGAAGCATTTAAGGAACAGTAACATTTTCTAAAGTTGTACCTTTGTGTACAGGAAGGAGACGTAAGTACCGCAGTGAGCAGACCTGGGCGCGTGGCCGGCCCCCAAGGAAGGGAGCCACTATAGAAGTGCTGGGCAGTGCCTCCAGGACCCTGGCGGTGATGAGACCCCACTGAGGTGCCCCCTTGGCCTACCACGGACCTCTAAATGCCCGACGAGTTGCCACAAGCAGCCCAGTTCCCTGGGGAACCAACACTCTGAGAGGTTCCATAACCAGGATGATGTGACCCGTAGGATTGCCAAGCAGGAGGCTGTGGCACTTGGTCCCATCCCGAGCCCCCCACCAGGCATCCTAAGTGCCAGTTGCCAAGACTACTGGACTTGTACATTTGAGACGCAGCACAGCCCGTGTGTGTGACTTGGCTTCTGAGCATCGGGCAGCGTCTGTGCCCCATCCCTCCCGCCCCTGGTCTCTGCCCCTCATCAGATGGCCTGCACCATTGGGGTGGATGCCTGCTGGTCACCTGGTGTCCCCCACCTCACGCTGTACTTATCAGGTGCCTGGCATGACACCTAAGAGCAGTCATGGAGCTGGGCTCCTACCCCCCACCACTTCCCTGCTGCTAGACCTCAGCTTCTTACCTGCAAAGGGAACACAGCACCTGCCTCCTGGTCAGAGCACACCTGCCTGCAGGATTCCTTGGGAAACACCACCTGCCTTTGCTGTCATTCCCAGGGGTCAGGACAGGTTGAATTACAGTGGGAGGGATGTAGAGAGCAAAGCCCAGGGTGCCCAGGGTGCCCAGGCCGCCCGACACTGACCTGAGCTCCTGTGTCACTCATGAGGCCCCAGGGAAAAACCTGGGCTGACCCCTTCCCTTACTCTTGGCAGCTGCAGGGGAGGTGGTCCCCTGCTGACACACCTGCAGCATGGGACAGGCAGAGGCAAGGACCCAGACGTAGCCCTCCCCACCCTCCCCTTTCCTCAGGGGCCTGAGAGACAAGCCCACAGCACAGCACGACCCTTCACAGATCCCCAGCTACATGCTCCAGTGAGGCAGGGGGGCCCCACAGGATGACCCTCTCCCTCCCGACCACCTCCCCACTCTCCAGCCACCCACTGGCCCCACCACAGGCCCTGGCGAGATCCCCAGCTACATGCTCCAGTGAGGCAGGGGGGCCCCACAGGATGACCCTCTCCCTCCCAACCACCTCCCCACTCTCCAGCCACCCACTGGCCCCACCACAGGCCCTGGCGTCAGCCCCCACCTCGCAGTCTGGGAGGCAGCAGAGAAAGTAGTCATGGGGGAGTGGGGCCGCGAGCCCAGCAAATGGTGTGTGTGCAGAGGCCTCAGGGTAGTGTGCAGGGCCAGGTGACATGGCCACGCCACGCTGGCCCACCATACAGGGCACAGTGAGAAGGCACTGTAAATGGGGTGCACCCGCCTCGGCTCTGGATGAGCCCTGGAAAGGCAGCAGCAGGAACCCCGGGGTCTCCTTTGCCCAGCAGGGCAACATTCTCCTTGGCCCCTGTGGCCTTTAAATGCAGCCCAAGGACCTCCCAGGGCCAGCGACAGTTGGTGTCACAGTGCCAGGAGCAGAACCCAGCACCTCCCACTCCCCAGGACCCTCATGCCATCACTGAGCGTCAGACACCAATGTCGGGGTGGCTGGGTCCCCCTACACCCTCTTGTCCCACCAGGGCCTTCCTCCTGTTGCTGCCCCCCATGCCAAGGTGGGACTGTCAAAGCCAAACACAGGGCTCCAGCCGGAGTGGGGGCTCAGCCCAGAATGCGTGGCTGGGTCCCCCTACACCCTCTTGTCCCACCAGGGCCTTCCTCCTGTTGCTGCCCCCCACGCCAAGGTGGGACTGTCAAAGCCAAACACAGGGCTCCAGCCGGAGTGGGGGCTCAGCCCAGAATGGAGAAGCCTGGGGGAGGGGACTGAGAGACCAGAGGAGGGGGAGGACCCTCCCTGGGACACCCTCGTTGGCTCTCCGTGGGAGCCTCCCCAGCCAGGCTGAGCAGGGGAAGGAGGCTCAGCTTGATGAAGTCTGACACCCACCGCTGGCCCAAGGGGACACAGGCCATTAGCACTGATGGAAGAGTCCTGGAGGACCTTGTTAAGGACATGGCGGGGACCCTGCCAATGTGTCCAGATGTTCAGTGAAAAGTTCCCTCCAGGCCCCTGGGTTGCTGGGAAGCTGCTGTTAGAGAAACTCCCTGCCCCACGCAGCCCTGCCTGGGCCTCACTGCTGTGAGAACGGCCTTACCAGCCCCCAGCCCTGCACCCCGGTGCGACCGAGCCCCCCACCCACAGGAGGCCGCACCTTCCCCGAGGCATGGAGGCAGGAACTGTGCCTGTTCGGAGCCCCCTGGCTGCATCAAAAACAGATAGTGAGGACACCACGTGGCCCTGGGTGGGTGGGCCTGGCCGTCCCCTCCCATAGGCAGTGCCCTCCCTATGCCCCACCTCTTGTCCAGTCTCGGCAGGCTCCCAGGGCAGGAAGAGCTGGGCTGTGCTCCAGCCGCCTGGGGCTCCTTCCCATGGACCAGGGGCCGTCCTGGCAAGACACTTCCCTGAGGGGCTGCCCCCACCCCAACACGTGCAGAGGACAGGGTGAGCAGGCTCAGCCAGCTGTGGCTGGGTGAGGGACTCGGCCCTGTGAGGTGACCCTGCTAGATCAGTATGGAGATGTTCCAGGGACCATGTGTGTGGGACTCACTGCAGCTCCTGTTGTCCTCGGAATAAAATGTAAGCCCAGGGTGGCCCTTGCCTACCCGCCTCACCGGAGCTCCTGGCTCCTGGCTTTCAGACGCGGTCCCCTCGATTTCTGCTCATGCTGGGCCCTTCCCAGATCAGGCACGTGCTTGCTGCTCCTCTGCCCAGACCCCCCTCACCTGTCCTGCTCCCCCTCACTGAGCAGAAGCCACAGACACCCTGTGAGCAGCCCTGTGCAGCCATCTGTCCCCTCCACTGCAGCCCCTGTGCCGCTTTCCTGGGGTCCAGCCCCACCTGTCATCAGCATCTGTCCCTGCTGTGCCCATGGCCCCCTCCCCGCTGCACCTCACACCCGCACGGGGTCTGTAGAGGCTCCGGGCCTTTGATTAGCAAAAGCCAACTGGCCCTTGAAACTCGCTGGGAACCACCAGGCACATGCCTCCCAGAGCTCAGCAGGGTGGACACAAAATTCCCACCACAGACACCTCCATCTCAGGGTCCAGTGAAGCCAGCCAGTCCAAAGCCCCATGACCGAGGGTCAGGCCACATCCTCACAGCACCACAGGGAGGAGAGAACAGAAGAGGATAGGACACCCATGCCCCAGTGGGGACAGGGCCTCACAGGTAGACCCGTCCAGGCCGAGACTGCCGAGCACAAGCAGCAGCTGGGGAGTCGGAGCGAGAGGCAGGCGCTGCTCAGGGCCCAGTGCCACCAGGGATGCAACGCAGGGGGAGGAGGGGGCTGCTGGGGGCCTTCCCTCAGCTGCCACTGCCCGGGGTGGGGGTGGTTAGAAAGAGCCCCTTCCCCAGTCCCCTCCTCCTGCCTGCCCCTCCCATCTGCCCAACAGTGACAGTGACAGGCTGCAAGGTGATGTGGCAGCACCCAGGGGGGGCTGCAGCCCCCTCCCCTCTGACCTGTGCAGGGAGGCTGTGTGCTCTGACACTCACAGGTATGGGCTGGGCCAGTGCTATGTGAGGGGCCCTCCTGGGATGGTCCGCACGAGCGAGCACAGGAAGCCCTGGGCCCTGTCGCCCCAGGCTCAGCCCCGCCACCCCCGTGGCCCCTGGTGTGGTCCAGACCTCTTGACCTTCAGAGAAGCAAGCGACTCCTCCCTGCACTGTCCAGCCCTGCACCCCCCTCAGGCAGGGCAAGCCAGCGCACACAGGAAGAGCGTCAGACCACCCGGAGCAAGGACAAAGGAGCCAGAGTTCGGTGGGCATCCGCTCCCTTGGGCAAGTGAGTTCCCACTCCACACCTGAGTTCCCCTGCACAACTGGAGGTACAATAGGCCACCTCAGACCTGAGGCGACACCTCTGCTTTACAGAGCCTGCAGTTGCATCTGGCCCTGTCACCCTCTCAGCCCCCAGCCCCTGCCCTGCAAAGCAGGCAGCACAGTGATGGGCACCCAGGAGTCAAGGGCTCCCACTACTGGGTTCAGTATGGGGGGACCTGTGCCAGGCTCACGTCAGCCCCGGTCAAGCTTACCTGGCAAGGCAAAGGAAAGGGTGGGGACAGTGGCCAGCCAGTTACCTGCAGCCGGCCCAATGAACACACAATACCCATCCTCCTGCGCGGGCAGTGAGGCACAGGTGACGGGCAGCCGGCCCCGGGCCAGGTGGCTCCAGCACGCGTCCTCCAGGGCCTCGCAGAACTGGCGGCAGGGCGGCGGGGCGGGCGGTGGGCCCATGCCACACGGAGGGGCCAGCAGCAGGCAGAAGAACCAGGCGAGGAAGGGGTGGCAGCGAGTCTGCAGGAGGCCCCCCCAGGCCCGCGCGGCGGCCTGCATCTCCTCGCTGCTCTCGTGGTGGAGGTGGTTGGGCAGCCAGGAGCGCCTGATGCCCAGGCGGCTGCAGACCGGCAGGGAGGGCAGCAGAGGCAGGCAGCGGCTGGCGGGGGCCCGGGGGTCAGCCCCGACTAGTGCAGAGTTATTAGCAAGACCAGGCCCCAAGGAATTAGCCACGTGGGAAACCCAAGCACCACTGTCCCCAATTAAAGCTGTGACTGGGATTTGAGACAGCCCGGCCAGGGGGCCAGAGGAGAGAGCAGAGGGGGCTGTGTGAGTGCCCGGGGAACCCATCACCAGGGGATGCAGAAGTGGCATGTGGCTGGATGGGTGCTGGTGCTGCTGGAAAGGACCCGCTGCCACCGGCAAGAGTCCTTCACCGTCCAGATCCTGGGGCTGCCCCAGGGACTGCTGGCTTCCCCAGGAAAGGCCCCTGCCCTGTGAGAAGGAGAGCGACGCTCTACCTGGGGATGGCAGTGGCGCTGGGGGCCCCCTGAGTGGAGCTTGGAGCCTACCCAGGGAGGGAGGTGGCTGTGTGGGCACTTGCAGGGTGCTGGCTGTGGTCCTCTGGGTGCCCGGAGAGCTTGGAGTATCACTGCTTGGCCAGAGAGGGGTCCCGTTCTCCTGGGGGCTGCTGGAAGGCCCAGGGTGGGTGAAGGGGCTTGAGGGGGTCTTGGGGGCTGGTGTCCCTGCCCCGGCAGAGTTCTCAGTGGGGCTGGCGCTGTCCCACAGCTGGACAAAGCTCTGGATGCCCTGGGCCACACTCAGGATCCTGGCGCCAACGCCGGCGATGTTCTCCTCCTTCGTGTCCGAGCTCGTGGCAGGGGCCGCCTGGGTGGTGAGGGCCCTGCCCTGGCCACCCTGTAGCTCCTCCAAGGGCAGCTCCGGGCTGGCAAGGGCTGTCCCTTGCTCCTGAGGGCCATCTCGGGGGGCCACGGTCGTGGTGGCATCCGCTGTGGGTTGCAAGGGTGGGCCACCCTGGGGCTCAGAGGCTGGCGCAGCTATGGGGCTGGTGACCCTGCTGGACCACAGCCAGTCCAGGCCCAGCAGGTTGGCCCGGGCAGCCACCAGGCAGCAGAAGAGCAGCAGCAGGCCGAAGCGGCCGCTGGGGTCGAGAGCCATCGGGGCTGTGGGTGTGGGCGGCGGCCGCAGGCGGCTGCTGGCCCGGGAGGTGGG